AGATAAGATAAGATAAGATAGATAGAGACAGGTCTATGTTGGCCAGGCTGGTCTTGAACTCCTGACCTCAAGCAATCCTTCCACCTCGGCCTCCCAAAGTGTGCAAGCCACGGTGCCCAGCCTAGGGAATTTTAAGTTCTGGTACTGAGGGGAAAACGCCTTTCAAAGTTCCAAAGATACAAAAAATTTTCTTTTAAAATAGTTGTATAGCAGCCTGGCGCGGTGGCTCACCCTGTAATCTCAGCACTTTGGGAGGCTGAGGCAGGCGGATCACGAGGTCAAGAGATTGAGATCATCCCGGCCAACATGGTGAAACCCCGTCTCTACTAAAAATACAAAAAAATTAGCTGGGCATGGTGGCGCGCACCTGTAGTCCCAGCTACTCGGGAAGCTGAGGCAGGAGAATCGCTTGAACCCGGCAGGTGGAGGTTGCAGTGAGCTGAGATCACGCCACTGCACTCCAGCCTGGTGACAGAGCAAGACTCCATCTCAAAATAAATAAATAAATAAATAAATAAATAAATAAATAAATAAATAGTTGTTTAGCTTCTTTCCCTTGGAGAAATTGCCCATAAGGCTTCTCTGATGAACAATATTGAAGAAGTATTATGGGAAGGAAAAAAAAAAGAAAACATGCTTAGGATGTTACTACTGTTTTAAAAAGCATTTTCATATATATCAGCTGGAAGATTTGTTGCTTTTTTTTCTTTTGTTTCGGTAGTTTGGTTAAATATTATAATACCAGTAGCCACTTCACCTCTTGTCCTAAGTCATATTTGTCCAATTCTTTACTTACCTATCCTTTCAGTAAAGAAGGTAAAAGTTTTCCCACCCTTACTGCAAGATGCAGATGTTCTTTTCAAAAAGACAGATGTTGGCTGGGTGCAGTGGCTTACACCTGTAATCCCAGCACTTTTGGAGGCTGAGATGGGAGGATCACTTGAGGTCAGCTCAAGACCAGCTTGTGCAACATAGTGAGATGTGTCTCTAAAAAAACAGGCCGGGCGCAGTGGCTCACGCCTGTATTCCCAGCACTTTGAGAGGCCAAGGCGAGCAGATCACTTGAAGTCAGTAGTTCGTTCAAGACCATCGTGGCCAACATGGTTAAACCTCGTCTCTACTAAAAGTACAAAAAGATTGGCCGGGTGTGGTGGCATGCGCTTGTAACCCCAGCTTCCTGGGAGGCTGAGGCAGGAGAATCGCTTGAACCAGGGAGACGGAAGTTGCAGTGAGCTGAGATTGCGCCACTGCACTCCAACCTAGGCAACAGAACGAGGTTCGACCTCAAAAAAAAAAAAAATGCATAAAAAATAAAAAACATTAAAAAACACATATACGGCCGTGCGCGGTGGCTCATGCCTGTACTCCCAGCACTTTGGAAAGCCGAGGTGGGCGGATGACCTGAGGTCAGGAGTTCAAGACCAACCTGGCCAACATATTGAAACCCCATCTCTACTAAAAATACAAAAATTAGCCGGGTGTGGTGGGGCAGCATCAGTAATCCCAGATACTCGGGAGGCTGAGGCGAGAGAATCGCTTGAGCCCGGGAGGCAGAGGTTGCAGTGAGCTGAGATCCAGCCACTGCACTCCAGCCTGGGCAACAGAGTGACTCCGTCTCAAAACAAAAAAACCACATATACAATGTTCCTTAGTCATGTCTCATAAAAATTATACTTTATACTGGTGAGGACTTTCTTATTTTTATCTTATATCCTGTTATCTCTGCTTTGAAAAATATTGCAATCGACCTAAAATTGACATTTTTGAGGCTCTTCATCTCTTCCACTGGTATGTGAAACACCATAAAGTTTCAAATTTGTGCTAACCCTTCCGTAGGATTCTTCCTTTTTGAAATTTAACTGTCCTGTAATTCTCTGCTTTTATACCAAATGTGCCTTTTTTTAACTTTCAAAGGAACCAATTTGGAATTGAAAATGAATCTAGAGTTGAAATACCGATTGCAAGTCTTTTTCTTTTCTTTTCTTTTCTTTTTTTTTAGGAAAACATTTTTCTAAAAGAGTTTTCTTTTTCTTTTTGGGGGACTGTCGTGACAGGCTGAGAGAGTGGCAACTTCTATAAGACATGGATAGATGCAAACATGTAGGGCGGTTACGGCTCGCCCAGGACCACTCCATTCTGAACCCTCAGAAGTGGTGCTGCTTAGAGTGCGCCACCACCGAGTCGGTGTGGGCCTGCCTCAAGTGCTCCCACGTGGCCTGCGGCCGCTACATTGAGGACCACGCCCTGAAACACTTTGAAGAGACTGGACACCCGCTAGCCATGGAAGTCCGGGATCTCTACGTGTTCTGTTACCTGTGCAAGGACTATGTGCTCAATGATAACCCAGAGGGCGACCTGAAGCTGCTAAGAAGCTCCCTCCTGGCGGTCCGGGGCCAGAAGCAGGACACGCTGGTAAGACGCGGGCGGACGCTGCGGTCCACGGCTTCGGGTGAGGACGTGGTCCCGCCGCAGCGCGCTCCTCAGGGACAGCCGCAGATGCTGACCGCTCTGTGGTACCGGCGCCAGCGCCTGCTGGCCAGGACGCTGCGGCTGTGGTTCGAGAAGAGCTCCCGGGGCCAGGCGAAGCTGGAGCAGCGGCGGCAGGAGGAGGCGCTGGAGCGCAAGAAGGAGGAAGCGCGGAGGCGGCGGCGCGAGGTGAAACGGCGGCTGCTGGAGGAGCTGGCCAGCGCCCCTCCGCGTAAGAGTGCACGGCTGCTCCTGCACACGCCTAGCGACGCGGGCCCGGCCGCCTCGCGCCCCACCACCCTCCCTACCTCACGCAGAGCGCCCGCCGCCACGCTCAAGCTGCGTCGCCAGCCTGCCGTGGCCCCGGGCGTCACGGGCCTGCGCAACCTGGGCAATACCTGCTACATGAACTCCATCCTCCAGGTGCTCAGCCACCTCCAGAAGTTCCGAGAATGTTTCCTCAACCTTGACCCTTCCAAAACGGAACATCTGTTTCCCAAAGCCACCAACGGGAAGACTCAGCTTTCTGGCAAGCCAACCAACAGCTCAGCCACAGAGCTGTCCTTGAGGAGTGACAGGGCCGATGCATGCGAGCGGGAGGGCTTCTGCTGGAACGGCGGGGCCTCCATTAGTCGGAGCCTGGAGCTCATCCAGAACAAGGAGCCAAGCTCGAAGCACATTTCCCTCTGCCATGAACTGCACACCCTCTTCCGAGTCATGTGGTCCGGGAAGTGGGCCCTAGTGTCGCCCTTCGCCATGCTCCACTCAGTGTGGAGCCTAATCCCTGCCTTCCGCGGCTACGACCAACAGGATGCGCAGGAATTTCTCTGTGAGCTGCTGCACAAGGTGCAGCAGGAACTCGAGTCTGAGGGCACCACACGCCGGATCCTCATCCCTTTCTCCCAGAAGAAGCTCACCAAACAGGTGTTAAAGGTGGTGAATACCATATTTCATGGGCAGCTGCTCAGTCAGGTATGTGTGTGCCTACCATGACAATGAGAGGCTTGTATGTTAGTTTGGGCTTCCTGTGAGTGCCTTCCCCTGGTTATTGGGCTAAAAAGAGTAGCCAACATTTGCTGTGATTATGCATTTTTGAGGGTGGCCATTGTACCTTTTATTCTACTGTACATTATGATGGCCTTTTGGGGAAACTTGCCTAGTGTCTTTCCGGCCAGATTTTTAGTTTTAACTTGCCACATTGCTTAATTTTCAGTGAATATCTTTAACTGTTATTGAAGATATGGGTAATATAATATTCTCATTGTTATAATTAAGTACTCATTGTTGGTGTGCCATCCTTTGATCAATTTTAGGGAACAGATTTTGCCTGTAACTCTGGTTCCATAATAGTTTGAAAGAGCTGTCTCCCTTCTTTACATACAAGGAAGGAAGATAGCTAGGAGCATGCTAAAGACCAATGCAAGCCTCCTTCCTGTTCCCCATTACATTTCCTGGATCTTTAGCCATGTAACCTAAGCAAAGATTCTGAGATATGGCCTTATGAGAATATGCAGAAAGAGTATTTTTATAGTTTAAAAAAAAAAAAAAAAAAAAGACGGGCGCGGTGGCTCACGCCTGTAATCCCAGCACTTCAGGAGGCCAAGGGGGGTGGATCACCTGAGGTCAGGAGTTAGAGACCAGCCTGGCCAACATGGTGAAACCCCGTCTCTACTAAAAATACAAAATTAGCCGGGCGTGGTGGTGCATGCCTGTAATCCCGGCCACTTGGGAGGCTGAGGCAGCAGAATTGCTTGAACCCAGGAGGCGGAGGTTGCAGTGAGCCGAGACCGCGCCATTGCACTCCAGCCTGGGTGATAGATGGAGACTTTGTCTCAAAAAAACAAAAAACAAAAAACAAAAAACGTGTTGGGGGGCGGATTGGTGGGCAACTTAAGAGATTCAGGTAAAACCTCTACACTGTGCTTGTGTCTTGGTTTTTAGGGTTTTGAAAGAATGATGAATGGTATGGAAAGGGAAAATTTAATTAGGTTTTTGTTTTTGAGCATGTAAAAGGGGAGTATTTATTAGCACTTCTTCTGTCTCCCCTCCCCTTAGGAAGAAAAGTGCACCTGGGAAGGTTATAGTGGGAATGGAGGTCTAATCACAGCATTTTGAGGCTGTGCAGACAGAGGGGTTCAGTGTAGGGCTTCTGCAAGTAACAAAGGCAAAAAGAGAGGTGTGCTGGGCTCTATGGAAGGTCTAAAGTCAAGAGGAGGAATTACAGGGTGAGGGAAGTAGGCAGGGACCTGCAAATTCTCTATATCAGACTGATCCCTTGAGAGACTGCATAATAACTTGCAGTCTGTGCTACTGTACTGTTGAATGTTAGAGCATATTTTGGGAGAGGAGAAAGGCGGGTTGGTATAGTCTCTATGCAGTATGGTTTTTAAATTCCAGCTAGCATCCCATAGTTAGAAATGTACATCAGAAGTAATATACTCTAATTCTTTTAAAGTTATGTTTATTATTTTAATATTACTATTTTTTGAAAATTATACACTTAGTTTTGATAAAGTGTGTCTTTTATGAAGCAAGTAAAACTGTACGCAGGAAGCATGGAAGTTACATAATCTGTAAATCAATCTTTTCATTCTAGGTCACATGTATATCATGCAATTACAAATCTAATACCATTGAGCCCTTTTGGGACCTATCCCTGGAATTCCCTGAACGCTATCACTGCATAGAAAAGGGGTTTGTCCCTTTGAATCAGACAGAGTGCTTGCTCACTGAGATGCTGGCCAAGTTCACAGAGACAGAGGCCCTGGAAGGAAGAATCTACGCTTGTGACCAGTGTAACAGTGAGTGCTGTGTGGAGGAGGGGGCGTAGTGGGGAAGTATAACTGGAATATCAGTTTAACGTGCTGCTTTGTCCTCTTTAGTCAAAAGTAACACTAATGATATTGAATGGTTCTAAAGCATCTTTTAAAGATCTCTTCCTCCCATTTTTCTAAAAATCAAAAAACATGGACTTGTTTTAATTATGTATTAAAAAACAAAACAAGGCTGGGCGTGGTGGCTCGTGTCTGTAATCCCAGAACTTTGGGAGGCTGAGGCGGGTGGATCACTTGAGGTCAGGAATTTGAGACCAGCCTGACCAACATGGTGAAACCCCGTCTCTACTAAAAATACAAAAATTAGCTGGGCGTGGTGGCAGGTGCCTGTAATCCCAGCTACTCGGGAAGCTGAGGCAGGAGAATCGGTTGAACCCGGGAAGTGGAGGCTGCAGTGAGCCGAGATCACGCCATTGCACTCTAGCCTGGGCAACAGAGTGAGACTCTGTTTCAAAAAACAACAACAACAATAACAAAAAATGAAACAAAGACCTAGAAGTTGATTGACCTCCTGATTGACATTAGTTGTCATCTTGGAAGGGATTTTAAAGTGTGGCTCCTGAAATGGGGACTCTGAGAATGTTAGTACTTAGCTTATTAGTGCTATGGGGCTGCTGCGTAAATTAATGAATGTAGAGTCCAACAGTTCTTACTTAATCTAAACCCAGATGGAACAGCCTTTCTGAGGGATGCGATATCAGAAAAGCATGCTTTTGTAATGAACTGGCACACTTAATGTCTGTCAAAAGTGATGCTAAAGATTGGTACAATGGAACCAAGAAAGTAAGTCTTAAGGTACATTGCTCAGTGGCAGCTTCATGAAATATTTTCTGCATTTTTTTTATTCTTCACATGCCTGAAAAGTTCACATTTCAGAGAGGGTCATAAGGAAGTATTTCTGTGTTGTCTGTAATTTTAAAATGGAACTCTTTACATATGGTTACAGAGGCGTGTTATACAGGGCCCTTCCGTCTTGCCACACTAACACTTAATGCTTCTGCTAACCCAGTATGGACAGACGAAATGCAGAGCAAATATGTGGATGCTTATGTTTGGGGGTTGTGGCATATATAGATTTGGAAACTAAAAGTATAAAGTTAATGGATTGTACAGAGACCTAGAAATCCATTTTCAGTCACATGATAGTTTAGATTACCAGTTTTGAAGAAAAAAAAAATGTTAGGCCAGGCGCAGTGGCTTATGCCTGTAATCCCAGCACTTTGGGAGGCCCTAAGGTGGGCGCCATTGCACTCCAGCCTGGGCGACAGAGCCAGATGCTGTCTCAAAAAAAAAAAAAAAAGCTAAATTGTGGGAAACCTGTTCCACTCTTTGAAGAATCAGAACAAAAATCAAAAGTCAGGCTTGAGGCCAGGTGCAGTGGCTCATACCTGTAATCCCAACACTTTGGGAGGCCAAGGCAGGAGGATTGCCTGAAGCCAGGAGTTTGAGACCAGCCTGGGTAGCACAGCAAGACCTCTTTTAGGAAAAAAAGAAAAAAAAAAAAACCCACAAAGTTATGCTCGATATCATTTTGCCATTTCAAAAGAAAATTTGAAATTTTATACCTGGCTAACTGTAGACTCACCTATCCTGTTCCATTTTGAGATACAGAGTCAGGTGAATCAAATTGTTTCATTAGAGTAATATTAAAAAAAAAAACAAAAAACAAAAAAACCCAGTGATTCCTGAAGCCTTTTACTTGTAATGAACAAAAGAATATTAACAGCTTTAACTCCATCATTTTTGGATATGATAGATTAGGCAAGAAATAACTTTGGTTTATCTTTACAAGAAAGGATTGTTCTTTGGTTGTCAGATGTGCCAATTTACCAGGATTTCTCTAGGCAAGTGCAAATAATGCCAGAGAAGGAAACCTATGGTGAGGAGATGAGATGCATTGATCTGTTGCCTGTGAAGTTTCAAAACTGTCAGTCTTCTACCTGTCTTCCTGGACAGCTTAATGAAATGGAGACAGAACTGATCAATCTCAATTGAATCAGTAATTTATTTTTCTTTGTGAATTTCATTTTAGGGAAACAAAGCCTGACTCTATATTGTCTTCATCTTAGCTCACATACTCCCTCTGCTGAGGGTGGTAGTCACTGCCAGGGTTCCTAGCCAGAGCTGCAGTAATTTTCAAAAAAATGGTGAATAGGAATATAAAATAAGGCCAAGCCCCTCTTTGAATTCCATTTCTGTTCATGCCAGCACATATTGTGACTACACACCCTGGTAAAAGCTTCTCCTATGGCACAACTCATTCTGATGCAGTCTATTATGAGAAGCTACACCTCCACATCCTATTGTCACAGAAAGCTCTGTGATACATCATCTGGCTGTGATTTGCTACCTTTCATGAGTAGTACAGACAGGACTGGGAATCAGATGCCCAGCTCTTCAGACACTGAGCCCATGATATCAACAGCTCAAGACAATTAGCAGGGACTGCCGTAGAACACTAATTTTCTACTCTCATCCATTTACCAGTTTAATATAACAAAACAGCCATCAGTAAATGGTTACAGGAAAGGCTTCTGATAGAAACTAAGATAACTCTATTTCCATTGTTTATTTGCTGAAATTTAGAAATGCATTTCCTAAAGGTTGGGCACAGTGGGCTCACACCCACAATCCCAACACTTTGGGAGGCCAAGGTGGGAGGACTGCTTGAGGCCAGCAGTTCAAGAAATGCATTTCCCCCACATTTAGAAACAAAATTAGAGACTGATCACTAGTTCTGCTTTGGAGTAGATGAATTTAGCCACCTGTCAGCTTTGTCCTTGTATGTCCAGCAATGTGCTTTTATCTAGGAAATATGTTTAAAAAACTAGGCACAGCATAAAAATATAGAACCAACAGTTTATTTTCTAAATGTTTGAATATGCCATAAGCAAATCATGCTAAAGAAAAATGTGTTTAAATACTCTATCATTTAGTAATCTTATCCTTTTTTTCCTAAGCCTGAAATATATGCATTATTCCCTATTTTACTGGTGAGGAAACGGAGGTTCAGAGTTTTGAGTAACTTATCCATTAGCACACAACTAGTTGTGAGCAGGAAGTAGAATTAGGCTTACCTAGTGCAAACAAAAAGCTTCTTAAAATCATATTGTGGGGTATCATAATTGAAGTTATAAGCCATTGTAAAGACATGGAGCCTTAACATATGCTTCTACTCTGTGTGCTTGCTGTTGCACGTTCCATTATATTCCATTATACCCAAAGTTCCTGATGGCAAAAATTGGAAAGATTTGAGTTGCTTGTAACAGTCGACCCAAATAACAGTGACTTAAAATGAGAGGTATTATTTTTCTGTTACATAAAACAAGTCTGAAGGACATTCAGGGCCAGCATGGTGGCTGCACGGTCATCAGTGACCCAAGCTATTTCTGTCTTTCTATTTTACTATCCTGTTGCAAGACTTCTGTCTTCAAAGTTACCTTTTGGTCCAGGAGGAATTCCAGTGGTTTCAGAGAGTGGGAATGCCAAAGGGATGCACCTTACAAGTGAGTCAGCCTTGTATAAGCAGAGTCCCACACAGTCATTCCTTTCATCTTAGCCAGAACTTCCATGGCCACACCATGCAGGCTTGTGAAGCCGGGAAATGCAGTCATAAAGAGGGTCACATTGCACTCCCCAAAAAATTGAGGTTCAGGTACTTAGAAATATGGAGAATGCATATTGAATGGCAAGTCACTGTCTCTGCCATAGCTAGAAAAAACTCTTCACAACCTATGTCTTATACCTTCCCAAACCACATAGGCAAACGACGAAAATCCAATCCCAAACCCCTTGTTCTGAGTGAAGCTAGAAAGCAGTTAATGATCTACAGACTACCTCAGGTTCTCCGGCTGCACCTTAAAAGATTCAGGTGAGCTTGCTGTGGGAGTCCTAGCTGGGTGAGAGCTGTGGGAATAGCTGCTCCAAAGGCTTTGGTGAGGGCAAATGTCTTCTATGGTGTTGGGAGGGGAAGCCTGTTCACTTGAGACCTTGTGTTTTCCATGGAGATTAAATCATTCACATCCACTAAGGCAAATTAATGTGGGAGCCCAGCAGGACTGGGCTTTTGCTGTCATGTGCCTGTGTAATTAATTATCCAGCCTGCACTGGGTATCTGTGCTTAAAGATTTTCTAGCCTGGCTTGGACTTATGTAGAGGTTCATCTTCAGGATGAAATATAAAATAATCTGGAAAAGAAGGGCAGGCAGGAAACTACAAAAAGACTGTTGCTTGAATTGCTTGTTTAGGGATCTCTAGGTTTAGAGTACTTCATGGAACATTCACAGCAAATAAATGGGCCAGGCGCAGTGGCTCATGACTGTAACCCTAGCACTTTGGGACGCCAAGGTAGGCAGACTGCTTGAGCTCAGGAGTTCGAGACCAGCCTGGGCAACATGGTAAAACCCTGTCTCTACAAAAAATACAAAAATTAGCCAGGCGTGGTGGTATGCACCTATAGTCCCACCTACTCGGGAGACTGAGGTGGGAGGATCACCTGAGCCTGGGAAGGTTGAGGCTGCAGTGAGCCTTTATTGATCGCACCACTGCACTGCAGCCTGGGCAACAGAGTGAGACCCTGTCTGAAAATAAATAAATAAATAAATAAATAAATAAATGTGAACATTGATTACCACCATTTTATTGATGGGAAGACCAAAACCAGAAGGTTTAATTTTCTCAGTTCCCTGTTTTATTAATACCTACCTCTACCTACAATTGTATATGCCAGTTTTTACTAGTAACAAGCTTATATCCATGTTCTAGGTGGTCTGGCCGTAACCATCGAGAGAAGATTGGGGTCCATGTCGTCTTTGACCAGGTATTAACCATGGAACCTTACTGCTGCAGGGACATGCTCTCCTCTCTTGACAAAGAGACCTTTGCCTATGATCTCTCCGCAGTGGTCATGCATCACGGGAAAGGGTTTGGCTCAGGACACTACACAGCCTATTGCTACAACACAGAGGGAGGTGCGTGCGCTTTACTCTGTGGGGTGGGGGACACGGAAAGGGGTTATTTGTCCACATTTTATTGTTTTCCTTTTATTTCCATCCCATGGATTACCTAGAGGGAAATTACATACATGAAAATCCAATGGCAAGAATTGTGAAAGTTGGGTCAGGCGCCGTGGCTCACACATGTAATCCCAGCACTTTGGGAGGCTGAGGTGGGTGGATCACCTGGGGTCAGGAGTTTGAGACCAGCCTGGCCAACATGGTTAAACCCTGTCTCTATTAAAACAGTACAAAAATTAGCCGGGAGTGGTGGTGGGCACTGGTAATCCCAGGTACTCAGGAGGCTGAGGCAGGAGAATCGCTTGAACCTGGGAGGCAGAGGTTGCAGTGAGCCAAGATTATGCCACTGCACTTCAGCCTGGGTGACAGAGCAAGACTCTTATCTCAAAAAGAAAAAAAGAATTATGAAAGTTGGATTCAAATTTTGGGTATATTACTAAGTAACAACGTATGGTTGTTCTAAGAATTAAAAGGAACTGACATGTAAAAGTGCTTAGAACAGGACCTAGGCCCTGTGCAATGGCTCACGCCTGTAATTCCAACACTTTGGGAGGCAGAGGCGGGAGGATTGCTTGAGGCCAAGGGTTCGAGACTAGCCTGGGCAACATAGTAAAAACTTACCCAGGCGTAATGGTGTGCACCTGTGGTCCTAGCTACTTGGGAGGCTGAGGTGGGAGAATTGCTCGAGCCCAGGAGTTTGAAGTTGCAATGAGCTGTGATTTCACCACTGCGTTCTAGCCTGGGCAAGAGAGTGAGATCCTGACTCAAATAAATAAATAAAAAGAGCAGTTGCCTAGCACATAGTGCTTATTCAGTCAGTGTTTGAGGATATTGTAGTATTATCGAAAATATTGGTTATTGATAATATTACTATTGTTGTAATGCTACTTCTGCACACCCCAGTTTCCTTCTTGGTTATGCAGAAACAGTAGAACCTGTGTAACCTCAAGGAGATACTGTATAAATCTCACTAGCCGCAGCTTATAAAGCTGAGAACATTTACTGAGCACTTACTATGTTCTTACTACTTCCCCCGCCATGGGAAGTGTGGGGATGCAAGGGCCCCTCCAAAGGTGCTTTAGGTCCTCATCCTCCAGAGTGGAGTCTTCCAGCTACTGCACTGACTGATGGGCTGCAGATGTGTTTTCAGCTGTTCACTGTTCTTGAACTGCACAGCCCTTGGGGCAGCCAGAGCCTGTGAATAAATACTTTTTTGTTCCTTCTAAATTTTCCTTTATCACTCCCCTCTATTTCCATTTCTCCTCTCCTCCTCCCCTTCCTCCTCATCTTCCTCCTCATCTCCCCATTGCTTAGCCTGCAGTATTGCAGCTATCTTTCTAGAAGGCTCTAGTGGACAATAAAAAAGCCTGAAGAAAACAAAGATAAAAATTGCAGTCAGTCGGCCAGGCGTGGTGACTCACGCCTGTAATCCCAGCACTTTGGGAGGCCGAGGTGGGCGGATCACGAGGTCAGGAGATCGAGACCATCTTGACTAACATGGTGAAACCCGTCTCTACTAAAAATACAAAAAATTAGCCAGGTGTGGTGGTGGGCGCCTGTAGTCCCAGCTACTCGGGAGGCTGAGGCAGAAGAATGGCGTGAACCCGGGAGGTGGAGCTTGCAGTGAGCCGAGATCCCGCCACTGCACTCCAGCCTGGGCGACAGAGCAAGACTCCGTCTCAAAA